CTTCCCCTTCTATTTGCCAGGAGGTGATGGGACCAGTGGCCATGATCTTAGTTTTTTTGATGTTGAGCTTCAGATAGTTTTTTGCACTCTTCTCTTTCACCCTCATTTAGAGGTTCTTTAATTCCTCCTCACTTTCTGCCATCAGAGTAGTATCATCTGCATATGGAGGTCGTTGATATTTCTTCTGGTAATCTTAATACCGGCTTGGGATTCCTCCAGTCTGACCTTTCACATGATGTATTCTGCATATAAATTAAATAAGCTGGGGGACAATATACAGCCTTGTTGTACTTCTTTCCCAATTTTGAACCAATCAGTTGTTCGATATCCAGTTCTAACTGTTGCTTCCTGTCCCATGTATAGGTTTCTCAGGAGATTGATTAGTTGATAAGGCACTTCCATTTCTTTAAGAACTTGCCATAGTTTGCTGTGGTCCACACAGTCAAAGGCTTTTGCATAGTCAATGAAGCAGAAGTAGATATTTTTCTGGAACTCTCTGGCTTTCTCCATAATCCAGCGCATGTTAGCAATTTGGTCTCTAGTTCCTCTGCCCCTTTGGAATCCAGCTTGTACTTCTGGGAGTTCTCGGTCCACATACTGCTGAAGCCTACCTTGGAGGATTTTGAGCATAACCTTGCTAGCGTGTGAAATGAGTGCAATTGTACGGTAGTTGGAGCATTCTTTGGCAATGCCCTTCTTTGGGATTGGGATGTAGACTGATCTTTTCCAGTCCTCTGGCCACTGTTGAGTTTTCCAAACTTGCTGGCATATTTTCTTAGGTAGATCACAGTAAAGCTATGGGTACTGGCAACCCTGGCTGGAGCATTCTGGGAGATGTCTAAAAAAGCAAACAAACTTTGCCAAGTTCAGGACCATAGGTACAAATGAATTACTTCTGCTGAAGATTTGCTGAAGCAAGCTCATTCCTGCAGAGGAATGTTTGGGCTGATCACTGAGGATTTTAACCAAGCCAGCACACATATTTTAAGTAAATTATCTTTCTTTGTGCTAAACATTTAAGACTGCA